GAACACTCATTTATGTTCGCAAACATGTTCGTGTTCGTTCGAATAATAAACGAGCTCAATTTCATGTTCGAGCTCGGCTCGATTGTTAAACGAACGAGCTTTAAACGAACACGAACGAGCTTTCGTTCGCGAACGTTCGGTTCGTTTGCAGCACTAACATCAAGATTAGCAGACGAATCACAAATGTATCTACCTTCTTCTAGGTACAAATCCAAATTTGATTTTTCTGGGGGGGCTCTATCAATTTCACTCACAAGTAACATAAAATTTTCTCTACCAGTGAGAACATTAACTTCAGGTTTCTTACCTCCGTGAACTTGAACAGAAGAAGAGCCAATCTCATTTTTTTTTCGCTTTACGTGCTTCTTTGTTGGTTCTTCGGCACAAGAACATATGAGCATCAACATATTCATTGTAAAGCTCATAAAGAAGCTCATTAATTTCAGCGGCTTTTTCCACAACGTTTACTTCACCATAAATTATCGGAAAAGCATGATTAATAAGTACCATTTTATACCTCAGATATAGAATAGCCCCAAATGACAACAACACATTACACTCTCCCCAATATTTATCGAATTTCAATGCCATATCCGAGGCCATAGCCCTGATGTGCTCAGATTCATCTAAAGCCTTTTCTTTTAACAGCTCTTTAACCCTATAAAAATCCACAAGAAAAAGATTAGAGGTTGGGTAGTCGGATCCCGAAATCATGTTAGTGATTTCATAAAAGATACCAAGAAATTTGCACACTTCTTCCACTTCGGCCCACTTGTATACATCTGGAACATAACTAAACCCAACATCAATATCCTTATACCTCGAAAAAACATTCTTAAACTCTAAAGTCGAGGCCAACATGAGATATGTACTATTCCATCTAGTTGGGCAATCCAAAATCAACTTTCTAGAAGGACACTGCAATTGTTTTGCAATTTTTGCAAATTGAATGAGGCGAGACTCTGAATTATTCAAGTACTTAATCCCATCTCTAACGACATCAACCACATTTCCAATGTTCTTCAAACCATCTTTTACTAAAAATTAAGTATATGAGCACAACACCTCACATGAAATATTTTTCCACGAATACTTAATTTCTTTCTTAAAGCAAAATCCTCTTTAAGTCTCTTAATACACAAATCATTATAGAAAGCATTGTTGACGGTGATGCTACAAATTTTGTTCTGAATTACACAAATCATTATAGGAAGCATGGTCGACGGTGATGCTACAAATTTTGTTCTGAATCTCCCAATCAATGAAACACTTACTTAATGCATCAGCTATAATGATTCCTGTATGTGGAGGAGGTACATTACAAAAGTTCAAAACACGTTTTTGCAACACCCAATCAGAATCAACAAAATGCCCTGTCACAACCATGTATTGAATTTTCTGACCAGATTTCCACAAATCGTTAGTTATAGAAACCCGACTAGCACCCTTTAAGAGAAGTTTCAGCTTTTTTTTTTTTTTTTTTTTTTTTTTTTTTTTTTTTTCTATCTGATAAGTTGTATAACAATCTTCTTTTACCTGCTGACGGGTAATCTTTTTATAAAATGGAGTTGCAACTTTCATGAACTTGTTGAAAACATAATGATCCATCATAGAAAATGGATACTCATGCACTAATACCATATGAGATGCAAGCTCTCGCACCTTTGCATGATCGTATGAGAAATTGGTAATAGAAGTGATACCGTCAGTTTGACCTTCTGAAAACGACAAAACCTGTTGCGTCATCTTGTTTTAAAATTCGGAGTTCAATTGCCTTTGTAGACATAATGCTAGATGACGCTTGTACTGAGATGTAGTTCCAGTTTCACCCTTTGCAAATAATGACTTACAGTGGTTGCATTTCACCTTTTTTGTTCCATTCTCCAGCGTTACGACTTCCATATTATCCCACACCATTGACGTCTTTCCTCGTTTCTTTTTCTCAAACGGTTTATCTCCACCTTCACCTTCCGGGTAGGTCTGCTCTTTATCTTCATCTATAACTGCAAGCTCTTCCTCACTCATCACATATGGATTTTCTTCCATATCAACTTCATTCATCTGCTCCATACCTGTTGAACCTTGATTTGAACTGAAAAGGGGGCTGGACATACCTGTTGAATGTTGATATGGTAAAACATGAATACAGTTATAAATACAAGAACTTTGATTTCAATGACTCATACCACATTACAAAATAAATATCAATATTCAACCACATTCTATAAAGGATAGAAATTAGAAATAAACATGAAATTAAACAAGTGCTTGTGACTGTGAGGAATTTGAAGTTTGACAGCAACTCAAAATCTCAAATTTCCATTCAAATTCACTAATTCCTTAACCTAATTTTTTTACTAATTGCTCTAAGAAAAGAACAAAAACAATTAAAGGTGAGGCCTAAAAAAATTATACAGAATCCTTGAGGAGCCAACACCTAAGAAAAGAACAAAAACAAATTTTGTGCTAATTTTTCTAAAAAAATATTATAGACCTTGAGGAGCTAAAGCTTGAAACTTTATACAGAATCCTCCAAAAAAAATTTAAACCCGACAAAGTTTTAAAATATTTAATATTTAGATACAATGAAACCTCAAAGCTATTAAGAGATCTCAGAAATTATTTGAAAATATTTAGATACAATGAAACCTCAAAGCTATTAAGAGATCTTAGAAATTATTTGAAGCTTAACGAAAAAAACCCAATATCATACATTTGAGCTCCGAGAGACGAAATTGATGATGACGACGGGATGGGAATTAAGGATGGCTACGGGATGAGAAATTGAAGATGCGAAATTGAGGATGAAGAAAGGATGAGGAATTGAGATTTGAGGTTGAAGAATAGGGGAACGAGGATGACGGCGGAATCTGCGGGGCTTAAGAAACTAGGGTAAATGAAGGGAAAAAGTGAAAGTGAGGAAATTACTTAAAAGACCGAGCTTTAACGGGTAGATAGCGAGCCAAGCCGGTTCTGCTCGTTAATGAAACGAGCCTATTATAGAGCTCGAGCTCGGCTCGTTTACCAAATGAGCCGAGCCGAACTCGAGCTAAACAAGCCGAGCTCGAGCCGAGCCGAGTCAGGCTCATTTAATTTAACAGCTCTAGTTAGGATGAAAGAAATCGTGCTCGAAAAATAATTTCCTCAGAACTACAGGGCCAGAATGGAGCGCAAGTTTTGGGACCTTCGCCAAGGGACCAGGACTGTGGAGGTGTACGAGCGGGAGTTCGTTCGTATGAGTGCTTTTGCCCTGCATCTGGTGGACACTGACTTGAAGAAAGCCACCAAGTTCCGGGATGGGCTTCGCCCGATATCTGCATGCTTTTGACCAGTCATGGGAACCTTCCATACGGGGAGATGGTGATCCGAGCCCAGCAACTAGAGAGCTGCCAAACCCTTCATAGCCCCATATCGCCATACCATAATGCTCAGATGGTTCCACCTGTCACTGTCGTCTAGCCCGATTCTCATTCGGGCAAGAGGAAGGTTGATCCCCGCCGAGACCATCGAAAGTGAAAACGCGGAGGTTCTGGCAGATGTGATGAGCGCCCCGCGGCTCAGGCTCATATTCAGATGTGTGCCACTTGTGGCAAGAACCATTATGGGGAGTGCCGAGCTACCCAGAGGACTTGCTATAACTGTCAGCGACCCTGCCACTTTGCCAATGTGTGTCCCGAGCAGAGGAGGCAGCAGCAGGGACCGTTCCCATAGCATCAGCAGCAGATTCAGCAGCCACCTCAACACCAGTTCAGACAACCACAGCAACCGAACCAACAGTGGCCAGGAGGCCAGGCCCGAGTCTACGTCCTTACTCCTGACGAGGCCGTGAACAACACGGGTACTCCCCATAATGGTTCTTGTCGGCTCCTCGGCTCGGGATACACATTGGCAAAGTGACCGGGTCGCGGACAGTTATAGCAGGTCCTCTGGGCAGCTCGACACTCCCCATAATGGTTCTTGTCGCATGTAGCACACATTTGAATCTGACCCTGGGCGGGGCGGTCACCACGTCTACCAGAACCTCCATGTTGCCCCTTCCGATGGTCTCGGTGGGGATCGACCTTCCTCTAGCCCGAATGAGAACCTGGCTGGACAACAGTAACGGGTGGAACCATCTGAGAATGATGGTATGACGGTACGGGGCCATGAAGGATTTGACAGCTCTCTAGCTGCTGGGCTCGGATCACCATTTCCCCCATATGGAAGGTTCCCATGGCTGGTCAATAGCATGCAAATATCTGGGAGAATCTCATCCCAGACTTGGTGGTTTTCTTCAGATAAGTATCCACCAGTGGCAAAAGCACTCATATGAACTCCCGCTCGTACTCCTCCACAGTCCTAGTCCTTTGGCGAAGGTCCCAAAACTCGCGCTCCATTCTAGCCCGATAATACCGAGAAAAGTATTTCTCGAGCACGATCTTTTTCATTCTGACCCAGGTGAGGTTAGTCAGCTCATTCGGCCTCAACCTCTAGGAGTAGTTAGACCACCAGGTGGCGGCATCTCCATCCATCTGGAAACGGGCACAAGCTACTTGCTGCTCGTCCGTACACAACAGCAGATCAAAGATTCGCTCTAGCTTGCGAATCCACTCAGCTACGACCGTGGGTCCCTCAACTCCAGTAAAAGTCGGCGGGTTCAGCCGCTGGAACTGAATGACGGTCTGGCGGTAATCGTCATCGTGATTAGGGGGAGGTTGATGGGCTTGCTGATTTCGCGGTGCTCTACGTGGTGCCATATCTATATATCAGATAAGCCGAAGGTTTAGCACAAGATTCGAATACTAAAGTTCAACAATTATAACGAAGGAGGATGGATTTTCCTAAGCTCCAAATAATAGATAAACAATAATCTATCATAACTACATCATAAGCAATATCATTATCACTTGTAGGTACAGCTTGCTTTTTCTACTCTTGCTTGCAAGTTGCAATTCGGAGTGGGCCATTTTGGAGGCACTCTCCATCGTCATCATGTCGATAGAGTGCATGGTTTGCAAGATATGGTGCATAGTCCAAGATCTCTGTCTGGCCCGAAAAATAGACATCTCTATAATAAGGTACGAATCATTTTACTACGGTGTTTCTTTTAGTTGCTAATTGAATTGAATTATAGAATGAACATCCCCAAGCTAATAGTGACATGCCCTTGCAATTGGTTTTGTTCTTAATTGCATCAACCATATTTTAGGACTATTTCATATACGTAGACATGCTACCTTATTAATAGGGTATTCACAGTTCGTAAACTCATTATTCCAAGTTGTGAGATGCTGCATTGCATCCTGTAGCTCCTTTAGTTTTGAAGTATTATTTGACATCAAATTAAGGGAATATGGCAAACTAAAGCTCTGGAGTCCGGAA